ATCTGCATCTATAGTCAATCTTGATCATATCTAGAACTTGGAGAGCTTACAAAAGTAATAGCAAGAATATACACTCGAGGGGCTGGAGAGATGGCTCCGAGGTTAAGAGCACTGACTGCTCTTCCAGAGGTCCTGAGTTCAATTCCCAGCAACCACATGATGGCTCATAACCATCCACTATGAGCTCTGGTGCTGTCTTCTGGTGTGCAGATATACATGGAAGCAGAATGTTGTATACATAATAAATAAAATCTTAAAAAGATATATACACTCGAAGTGAAGCTAGAACTTAGATGCAGCATTGACTTTTCAGTTGTTCCTGGCATTGCTGTAACTCTTTACATGAGGTAACTTCCAAATGCTCTACAAGGTAAGTATTTCTCTCTTCATTTCATAAATGAAATAAATAAGATTTAGAGAAATTGGGCCAGTGAGATGGCTCAGTGGTTAAAGGTACTTTCTACCAGGGTAATATCTTGAGTTCTCAGGGATCCAAATAGCAAAAGGAGAGACCCAACTCCTACAAGTTGTATGCTGACCTCCGTGTTCCATTTCATGTGTGTTCCTGTTCTCCCCCTACACTTAAATGTTGATCACATTTTTAAAAACCCAATAAAATTTAGAGAAGTTACCTAACCTGCCCTGTGCTACATAACTAGCAGCTGGCACACCTGGGACTTTTAGTCTAGCCAGGTAGTCTAGCTCCAAGAGGCTGTAACTGCTATAGCAGGATGAAGGGAGAGTCTAGGGAGTGGGCTTTTCAAGTGTATTCATCTGTTTCATATCTCAGAGATGTGCCCACAATTGGGCTATTGTGTCAAAACAACACAATATCAAAAAAAGAGACCTAGCATAGAAAATGAAATTTGAAGACAGACTAAATAATAACACTCTGGCCCTGAGATGGTGGCCTCTGCTGGATTGTGGCAAAATAAAATCATTAAGACCCATATGAGCTGGGTGGTGGTGGTGCATGCCTTTAATCCCAGCACTTGGGAGGCAGAGGCAGGAGGATCTCTGTGAGTTCAAGACCATCCTGGTCTACAAGAGCTAGTTCCAGGACAGCCTCCAAAGCCACAGAGAAACCCTGTCTCAAAAAAACAAACAAAAAAAACCAAACCAAACCAAAACAAAACAAAAAAGACCCATGGCTGAGCCAGGCATTGATGGCACATGCCTTCAATCCCAGCACTTGGAAGGCAGAGGCAGGCAGATCTCTGTGAGTCTGAGGCCAGCCTGGTCTCCAGAGTGAGTGCCAGGATAGGCTCCAAATCTACACAGAGAAACTCTGTCTCTAAAAACCAAAAATAAATAAATGAATAAATAAATAAAACAAAAATCTTAAAATTTCCTTCCGGGTTGGCGAGATGGCTCAGAGGTTAAGAGCACTGAATGCTCTTCCAGAGGTCCTGAGTCAATTCCCAGCAACTACATGGTGGCTCACAACCATCTGTTATGAGATCTGGTGCCCTCTTCTGGTGTGCAGATATACATGGAAGCAGCATGTTGTATACATAATAAATAAATAAAATCTTAAAAAAAAATTCCATTACAGGTGGAAAGCAGGCTTCAGTGTATGTTTCCTCAGGGTCCAGGCTAGGACTTGCACTTTCCTTGAAGCTCCAGATGTACTTTTTCTGTAAAAGGTAGACATACATTATGGGGCAGATTCTGACCTAGTAGCAGGAAACCTTTTTCAAATCTGTGTGAGACTTGTGGGCTGTACTAGGATCTGTGGAATTTGCCATGCTGATGGAGTCTGGACAGACATTGAACAAATCCTGACAAGCCTGTTAGTGAGGAATTCAATTATTTGAGGAGGTGCGCTCAATCTTTGAAATTCCTGTACTTAGAAATGTCTGGTTCTGTGAAATATGAGTTTTTATTTTTCTACATCTGGCTCCATACTCTTTCACTGAGAAGAAATGTCCATAGTGGTGTGTCTCTAGCCCAGCTCCTAGCGTATGCCAGGCAAGGAAAAGAACATGACATGTCCCTCAAAGCAAATCCTGAGTCCAAACTTCTAAAAAGACATTGGGAGTTCACATGACTGAGTTGAAGAACCAGTATGTAACACATGGCTGATTCTTGTTTTAGGAATCACTCAGGATAGAATAAATTGAGAGCTATGTTCCTATAAACTGAATCAAAGGACTTAAAAAGATTAATATGGAGGACTAAGAATAACTTCACAGAATAGCTTTTCTTCATGTTCTGGATCTAGCATTGGCCATATAGACTGGATTTGGAAGTGGGTACTATTTATTAGCAGCTTTTATATGAAGTTTAATAACCAAACTTCCAGATACTTCTCAGTCAAAGAAGTTTTTACTGCTTCCCCCACCACCTTCATATTTCTTTTTAATAACATAGGGACAATGCAGGTGGTGATGCAATCACAACCATACCTGATTCAATACCCACTGGAGTTACTTCATTTAGATTGTGGGGGAGATTACATTACCAAAGATCCCTCATAGCCACGTAGGACTAGCTTTGTAAGCTGAGGGTACACAGGTAGAAAGATCCTGCCAGTCATCTGACAAGGACACTAAGGAGGACCTCCTCAGATCTATAGTGGGTGTCAAATCTGTGAGAACTCAGTGACCCCCCAGGGCACTAGGAGATATATTGCTTGACAGAGATGAAGACACAATGCTAGTGCTAACCTGGCTGGCTACTTCTTTCTTGGTGAAGTTAAATTAAAACTGTAGTTGTCTTTTTTTTTCTTTGTTTTGGTTTTTCAAGACAGGATTTCTCTGTAGGTTTGGAGACTGTCTTGGAACTCTCTTTGTAGACCAGGCTGGCCTCGAACTCATCTGCCTGCTTCTGCCTCCCGAGTGCTGGGATTAAAGGCGTGTGCCACCACTGCCCAGCTCTTGTTGTCTTTTCTTTTTAAGGCACATCTTAAGTTGCTCTCTAATCTATAGATCAGCTAACTTCTAGTCTACAGAGGCTTGACTGGAAGTATCCACCAGCAGCTGCCTCATCTGAGGCTGCTGACTTCTCCAAACCAGATGCTACCCAGTTGCCCCTTCCCAGCTCCCTCCTTAGGCTGCTGCAGGGCTTCTGCTAAACCCCCACAGAGGAGAAGGAATGGCCAGTCCTCTAGAAGTGGGCATGGTCTTGGGTCAGGTGGCTGGCACAAGAGCAAGTAGCAGCCTCTTGCCTCTCTCCCTCCCAAGGATCCAATCACTCTCTTCTAGCCTCTCACGCACATGGTACACATACATACATACTGACAAAACATGCACACATATAAAATTTTTAAAAATAAAAAGGAAACAAAAACAAGGATGCTGATTATTTAAACATAGTTTCACAAAGGCCACCTGTTCTTTTCAATAGTAGGAAAAAAAGAGTCTGTGGACATTATGCTGGCTACTTTTTATGCCAACTTGACACAAGCTAAGGAAGTCTGGAAAGGATAGTTTTGTTTTGTTTTTTGTTTTGTTTTGTTTTGTTTTGAGACAAGGTTTCTCTGTGTTGCCCTGGCTGTCCTGGAACCCACTCTGTAGACCAGGTTGACCTCAAATTTAAGAGATCTTCCTGCCTCTGCCTCCCCAGTGCTCATGATGCCCAGCAGGAAGCAATTTTAATGGAGAAACTGCCTCATAGGATTGGTCTATAAGTGAGTCTGTAGGGCATTTTCTTGATTGATGTAGCAGGGCCCAGCTCTTTGTAGGTGGTGCCATCCCTGGGCAAATGGTCCTGGATGGTGTAAGAAGCAGGCTAAACAAGCCATGATGAGCAAGCTAGTTAGCATTCTTCCATGGCCTCTACATCAGTTCCTGCCTCCAGGTTCCTACCTTGAGTTCCTACCCAAGGCCCTTCTGGCTCAAGGCCCAAGGCCAATTAATACAATAGTTTATAACCTACCTAGAACCTAGCTATGGACATATTTCCACTGTTACTCAAGTGTTCCCTTTATTCAGTATTTTGTTCATGTCATCTACACAATGTCTTTCTTGAGTATAGATCTGAAATAGCCCCTATCCCTCATCCACTTTTTCAAAACTGATTTTATATACAGCCTGTAGAAGCATCATAAATACAGGTTATTTTTGCTATTTCTCTGGAGCCTACAGCAAGCAGTGTATGGCATATAAAGTGCTTTAAAAGATAGTTGAGGATCTCTCTCTCCCTCCCTGTCTGTTCCCCTCTCTCCCTGTCTCTTCTTTCTCCCCATTTTCCTTTCTCCTCTTTCCTGCTGCTCCTATTTCTCTCCCTCCCTGTCTGTTCCCCTCTCTCCCCGTCTCTTCTTTCTCCCCATTTTCCTTTCTCCTCTTTCCTGCTGCTCCTATCTCCTGAAGCTCATTTCCCCCCTTCCCATTCCCCTTTGCATGATCCCTTTCCCTAATTAAAAAAAAAAAAAAGGATAGTTGGGGCCAGACATTGGTGGTGTATGTCTTTAACCCCAGCACTTGGGAGGCGGAAGCAGGCAGATTTCTGTGAGTTCAGGGCCAGCCTGGTCTACAGAGCGAGTTTCAGCACTCTACATAGTCAGGACTGTGTAAAGAGATCCTGTCCTCCAATCCACTGCCCCCAAACCCACCAAAAAAGTTGGATTAGGCCGGGTATTGGTGGCACACGCCTTTACTCCCAGCACTTGGGAGGCAGATGCAGGCAGATCTCTGTGAGTTTGAGGCCAGCCTGGTCTCCAGAGCGAGTGCCAGGATAGGCTCCAAAGCTACACAGAGAAACCCTGTCTTGGAAAAAAAAAAAAAAAAGTTGGATTAATGGATAAAGGTTCCAAAGCATCAATTGTAGTGAGATCTTTAATGCTCTCAACTTTTTTTTCAACCTGTTTTTGTATGAAGTTTCTCATACTTGGAACCTAATACATACTACACTACTATTCAGTAAATAGCTCTGATCTAAGCAACCTGAATGGCAGGGACTCTACATTTGTCTTCTGCCAATCTATCCCAAGAAGGTAAACTCATGCTCTAAATGCACAGTAGAGGCTGCTGTGGAGAACGGTAAGAGATAGTCAAGGCACTGTTGCTTAGTGATTTATTCTCCTCTATAGGCTCCATCAGCAGGTGGAATGGAAGACGCCTCCTACTCTTACCCCTTGGGCAACCAAGGCATTATACTCCTTCACCGCCTGTTCTGTCTGGAGGACCCGTACATTGATGCCTTGTTTCTGGAGGTACTCCACAGTGGATGGAGGCACCTGGAAAGAAGGAAAAGAGATGAGTAAGAAGGGAGAAAGGGGCCCCAGAAACTGCTTTTCCTGTCATAAGGCAAGTGTACTTACAGAATTAGAACACCTGTCACTTCTCAATCACCCAGTGTATCACCACTCCAAAATGGCAGGGAGCCCCAGTGAGTTCCAGAGAGCTCCTGAGGAGCTGGGGTTGTACTGCCATGGTTCAGAGTGCATGCATGAGGCCCTGAGTTCACTCCCCAGTACCAGGGTGGGAAAAACGGACCACTGTCAAGTTCCCAAATGTCTCACACCCATACTTTAGCCCTGGTGAAAAGGAAAGGGGCAATGCAGCAGTTTTGACTCAGCCCTAGATTGAAGCCCTTCTAGCAGTTTAATTCTGAGTAAGGAATCAAACTCAGCACTTCTGTGTTTATCAATCAGGGATAGTCACATCACACAGGGTTAGCTGTGAGAACCAAGTTAAGATACAGAACATGTCTAACATGGTGCATATATATCCTATGTGGTGTAAAATTTTGAAGTTTAATCAGTGCAACTTAAGTTTAAAGTCGAACTTCCCATGTGCCAAACCAAAAGACCGTCCACTAACTTTTAAGCATGAACCCTCCCGTTTCCTCTTCCATAAAGTGGGGCTAACAATACTTCTATCACAGAGTTTATATGACGGTGTCACTGACACTGTATATACTCTGCAACTCAAATGTCTTCTCAGAGTGCACAGTGGAGGCTGGTATGGAGAACAGACCACTCATAAGCAGCCTACCCTAAGGCACCATTTGCTTACAGTATTTATTATCTGAAGTTATCTAGTTTTAGTTATCTAAATTTTTAGATTTATTTTATTTTATGTGTATGGTGTTTTGTCATGGACACTGAATGCGACGACGCACATGCATACATGTAGAAAAAACAATCTCTGAGTTTGAGACCAGTCTACTCTACATAGTGAGTGAGTTTCAGGACAGCCAGGGCTACATAGCAAGACACTGACTCAAAAAAACAAACAAATGGGATAGCATCTCTATAACTGCATTTATGAATATTTTATGTATTTTTCTACAGCTCAGATACTGTCCCAGGCATTGAGGACACTGAGATAAATAAGGTGAGTGAGGTTTTATTATTATCATCAATCAAAAAGCAGGCTAGAGGGGGCTGGAGAGATGGTTCAGTGGTTAAGAGCACTTGTTGCTCTTGCAGAGGACCCAGGTTTCAGTCCTAGAACCCACATGGTATCTCACAAACTACCAGTAACTCTAGTCCTGGAGATCTGCCTTCTTTTGGCCTCCACAGACACCAGACACATATGTAGTATAAAGATGTTCATGCAGGTGGAACAACTAACTATACATAAAAATAAAGAATAAATCTTTTTTGTTGCAAACAATTTAATTTTGTGTGTATGGGTGTTTTATGGCATGCATATCTATGCACCACGTTTAGTGCCTTTGTAGACCAGAAGAGGGTATCAGATCCATGGAACTGGTGTGATAGTTGTGAGCACTGTGGGTCCTCTGCAGTGTTGTTGTTGTGAGTCACTGTGAGCATCCTCTGCAGTATTGTAGCTGTGAGTCACTGTGGGTCCTCTGCAGTGTTGTAGCTGTGAGTCACTGTGGGTCCTCTGCAGTGTTGTAGTTGTGAGTCACTGTGAGCATCCGCAGTGTTGTAGTTGTGAGTCACTGTGAGCATCCTCTGCAGTGTTGTGGTTGTGAGTCACTGTGGGTCCTCTGCAGTGTTGTTGTGAGTCACTGTGAGGGTCCTCTGCAGTGTTGTAGCTGTGAGCACTGTGGGTCCTCTGCAGTGTTGTAGCTGTGAGCACTGTGGGTCCTCTGCAGTGTTGTAGTTGTGAGTCACTGTGAGCATCCTCTGCAGTGTTGTAGTTGTGAATCACTGTGAGCATCCTCTGCAGTGTTGTAGTTGTGAATCACTGTGAGCATCCTCTGCAGTGTTGTAGTTGTGAGCACTGTGGGTCCTCTGCAGTGTTGTAGTTGTGAGTCACTGTGGGTCCTCTGCAGTGTTGTAGTTGTGAGTACTGTGGGTCCTCAGCACTGTTCTTAAGTGCTGAACCATCTCTTTAGGGCTGCTTAGTTCTCTGCATGTAAAGTAGCAAGCTGAGCTCAGTGGCTCATGCTTCTACTTCTAGCACTTGGACGGTAAAGGCAGGAGGGTCACTGTTATTTCCAGGCCAGTCAGGGATACAGAGGAAGACCCTGTCAAAAACTAAACTAAAATAAAAATGACACAGAACTGGAGATGGAGCTCAGCTCCTATGGTACTTGACTAGCATTCATGAAGCCCCAAGTTAATCCCTAGCATGGCATAAACTGTGTGATAGTGCATACTTATAATCTTAGCAGCCAGAATGTAGGGGCAAGAAGCCCAAAGGCTCAAGGACCAAATATGTGCCTCTTAATGGCTTTCTCAGCAAAAAATGGACCCCATGTTTAAGAGTGCTAGAAGCGTACATCACCAACTGACACTGCTGCAGCTCTGTGAACACACACTATGATGTTCACACAGTGATAAAGACAGACAGTGCACTACTCAGAATGTATCCCTGTTGTTGACCCACACATGACTGACTGGATAACTGCAAAACATGAGAAATTCTGGAATTGAGGTATTTTGTGAGAAATAGCTGAAAACAGGGTTGGGCACAGACTTGGAAAGCCCTATTCTGACTGTGGAGTAGTGTGTGCAGTCTTACTCACCCTAGGGCACTTACTGCTCAGCAAAATGAGAAGATATGATATGTAGAGTTGAACTCCAATGAAGTAGATACCTATGAAAGCTAAGGTCCAAGAGATAAGTGTTTGTCCTCACGAATGCTGCAATACCAGAACCTACCTTCAAAGCCTCACTCATTCCTCTGCCGATCACCAGAGTCTGCACACCCTTCTCAGCAACTTCCTTTACATCTGCAGGCTGCACCCCAGGGGAATGCTGCATATGGAGGAGAGAGCAGGAGGTACCATCTTTCATCACAACACAATTATTTTTAATTTTTTTTTTTTGCCAGGCATTGGTGGCCCCCGCCTTTAATCCCAGCACTCAGGAGGCAGAGGCAAGCAGATCTCTGTGAGTTCGAGGCTAGCCT